TCAAAGACAACCCCATCTTTCCATTTTACTCAAAAAAAAAAAAACCCTGAGGCCATCCTTGACTTCAAATTCTACATCTAATTAATTGGCAAATCCTGTGGCTGTACTTCTAAACATGTCCAGAATCACACCACCTCACACTATCTACATTGCTCCCACCCTGGTCCAAACCAGCATCAACTCTCACATATTGAAAGAAAGCCCTTTCTTTTCTTTATCCTTGCCCCAGGCATTTAGACCATGCTAACAAGGAAGTCTGATCACACCACTTCTTGGTTTAAAGCACTCCAGTGGCTTCTCAGATCACTCAGAGCAAAAGTAAAGCTGTTCCTTTGAACTCCAAGTCCCTGAACAATTTAGACTCCTCATTAACCTTTCTGATTTTATCAGCCTTTTGTCTTAAAGCCTCATCTTTCCTCAAGTTTCTCTGGCTTTTTCAAGTTTACCAGAGTGTTCCTGCCACAAGTTTACCAGAGTGTTACCTGCCTGAGAAAGCTTTCCCACCCACCCCCCTAATGTACTAAGATGATTCACTACCTTACTTTTTACATTTACTCATTTACTCAGATGTAACCTCCCTCCCCTGTACTGGGTATTGAATCCAGGGCATTGAGAATGCTAGGCAAGTGCTCTACTACTGAGCTATAATCCCACACCTTTTATTTTATTTTTAGACAGAGTCTTGTCTAGGCTGGTCTTAAATTTTCCTGCCTCACCCCCACCCCCAGTGCTGTGATTATAGGTATATGCTACCATGCCCAGTGACATGTCACCCTCTTGTTAAGACTTTCCTAGCCCCCTTACATAAAATAAAGCTTAAATCACAAGACTACCATTTTTGAAAATGAGGAAAATATGTCCATACAAGCAGTCATGCATGTTTTGTAGGACCACCTACAAATCACAGGATATTGATTAATTTTAAAGATTTAATTAACTTTTAGAGAACATTTTTTTTTTTCTCTCAGGGCCTTGTGTATGCTGTTTGCTTTTATAGTGAGACCAAATTGCCCAGGCTAGCCTCAAACTCATAATCCTCCTGCCTAAGCCCTTGAATAGCTGGGATTACAAGTGTGCAGTATTATTCCTGGCTCAGAACATTTTTCAAAAATGAAATTAATTGTAATTCTAGTGTTCACTGTCAATCTGTTTGCCGATGTAAATAATTGTATTACCCTTCACATAAGGTAAGTCTGACTCCCAAAATATGCACATATAAGAGTAATGTGAATTGTTTAATATTATAAAATAAGGATAATAAACTGAGGAAAGAGACAAAGACTAGGAAACTGGAAACTCAAAGGATGGTGAAGACCAGGTTTGGAAGAGACAGTGAAAAGAGATAGTTTTTACTATGGCCAGGAATAACATCGTAGGATTTATATCTTGGTGATGGGATCGTTTTACTATTGAGGGTAGTATGTAATTCTATAATTTAGAAATATGAAAAAGATGGCCTAGTATTTCATTGACAAGGATGAAGATGTCACCAACTACAATAATGTCAGGAAATGAAAAGAGAAAAGACAATCAGCCAAGTCTCTTTAGAAAGTATCCCATTGGGGTCATTTACTGTGAACTTCAATTATGTGGGCAAAAAACAAATAATACCAGCAAAAGTGAAAATATAGTTCCTATGGATAACTGCAAGTAGGAAAAAAAATTGTAGGGAAATAACCTGAAACAACATAATTGTTATAAATTAAGAAAATTACAGAAAAAGTCAAGTTCCAATAGTAGAGTGGAGTTTAGAAGGAGGTTTGCTTTTGACATATTTCAGGGGCATTGCCAAGAATAGACAGGAGGTCTAAAATTTAAGGAGAAAAGAGGGAGATGAAAAGTGCACTTATGAAATTTGATTTTTTGGGGGGGGCGGGGCGGGGTATGGAGTTTGAACTGAAGGGCACTTAACTACCCAGCCACATCTCCAGTCCTTTTAAAAATATTTTATTTAGAGACTGGGTCTCTCTGAGTTGCTTAGGGCCTCACTAAGTTGCTGAGACGCTGACTTTGAAGTCGCCATCCTTCTGCCTCAGCATCCGGAGCCACTGGGATTATAGGCATTTGCCACCACGCCCAGGAGAAGCAGCAATTTAACAGAGAAATCATCAATCACAAAGCTTCCCGAATATCTGTCAAACTTTCAATTGTTTAGTGGTAGAGGCAGAGGAATGGAGAATCCATAATCAGGATATGGTCAAGAATTGACTTAGGAAAAAACAGCCTAATCCAAAATAAAGATACCACCTTTAGGGAAAGTTTGTCTACTGGAAGATAGAGATGAAAAGCTTTTTTTAATTCTCTCTTCAGTTCCAGGTAAATTTGCTATAAAGAATTCATATATATACACATACATACACACACACACACACACACACACAAATAATTAAAAAAAAAAAAAGAG